CCACTGATAAGAAATGGAATTTATCATATATGTTTGTATTTTTTGTATTCATACTGTCTGCGTGGTATGGATATTGATGTAATGGAGCTTTATTGGTGTTTCAGGAAACTTTTGGTGACGGTAATGCATACATCACATCAAAGAAATCCTTCACATTTCTGATGAAAATCCTGACTTCACTTGTTCCATTTGAACCAAGTCATATCATCAAGGTACAGTATTACTCTCTCTCTCTCTCTTTCTTCATGACCTGTTGTTATTTGGGAGTTTTTGATTGCACTTCTTCAGAATGGTAAGATGATACTGTGGCCTAGTATAAATAATGAAATGTGGCAAAGACAAGCCAAACCAGTCACTCAGCGCAAATCCTGTTTTGAGATATAACGTCCAAAAGATGCTGGAATGTCAACATTTTTTAAATCTATTTTATTACATTAGACTAACCTTTATATATCTGTATATCATGATGTACTGTTATTTTCAATGTTAAAACAACAATTTTTAACGATTTGGTAATGGTTTTTTGCCCAAAATCGTAAACTTTGAAGGATGATTTCTTAAATATTGTTCTTTAAACAGCTGTATGTATTAACTCCTCTAACTTCTTAACGAAATGTCGGATTTAAATGATTCTTATTTTATGTCTATTTTAGGCTCATATTCAGAAATCACCGCATGCCATCGGGAAGTGTCAGGAGCTTGTGTGTGACTACATTTTACTGGGTAAAACAAGGCTTGCAGATCTGAAGGTAAACACAATAATTTATTTATGCAGAGCATTTACACATTATGAAAATGTCTGAAAAGTTGATTTCTTGAGTAAGCCTGTATTTGAAACACCCCAGTATTCACCATTGTGTCCTTTTCTGTAAATATTTGTTTTAATCTTCAAATCTTTATGAAACATGGCTTAGAGCACTACATTGCTCCCTCTTCTAATTTACAAGTTGTGTGCGTGGAGGTTGACATGAAAATTATCATGATTGACTGGTCGATTGATTATTTGATCTCATATTTGATTTGTTTTGGTGTGGTTGCAACATTTTTAAACCAAAAATAATTATTATTCAGGAACCTTTGGAACCAGAAGGGATCTTTGTACAGGGTCAGTCAAGTGATGGATCAAAAATGAAAGCGGTAATAGTATGATTATTAAACATTGATAGTTATTGTATTGTTTTCATTTCATTTCATTTCACTTCATTTATTTCGCCAGATATAAATATATAAAATATACAAATATAAAATTTCAAAAATAGTAATTGTTGTCATGTGGCAGGATTGCCCAAAAGTAGAAGATCTACTGTCGAGGGGCTCTCCACATGACAACAAAAATACAATATCGCAATTCTATATACATAATTTTAAAAAAATATTATAAACATTAAAATGCAGTACGGTATAAGAAAACATAATATAATTACAAAAAGATTAAAAAGGCCTAATAAAAAGTACAGATAAAATAAACCACAGAGAGAGCAATCGAGCAAATTCCCAAATCCCTTAAATGTTGTTATAATAATCATTTCAACAGTTTGCTGTGCTATTGTCCCCATTGCCTCAAATATTATTCCTAACAGACCTCTATTAAGAGTAATGGTTGGTTATCTACACATCATGTGCAAGCTTGGTGTGGTACAGAATAATGGATCTTTCTGGCGTGCCAATCAAACTTAACAACTGACCAATCACAACAGCCCCAGGAATGTTTGTTTTTACACTGTCATTTAGTAGCACAAATATTTCCAAGGGGAGGGGCTTAGCAAAAATGTCCATTTTAGAATAATTTTCTCATAATAATAGATCTGAATGTTTTTTTTTTTTAAAACATTAGCATAACTCCTGATTTCCGGGAACCCCCCCCCCCCAAGGGAGCGTGTGTCTATTCCCTCTGCCTTACTGTACTATGTTTACTGATAAAATATCCACATGGGATTCAGTTATCAGGAAATATGTGGTGTTGTATTTTTTTTATAACTTTTGTACAGTATTAAGGTAGAATGACACATGGCCCATCATGGACCTCCACCGGATTTACCCTTTCAGCCATCTTTAACTGCCAGAGGACAACATAGTGTCTTTGACCCCGAGGGGACATAAACACAGAAATTGGTAATTTGTGAATGAGGGTAATACAGTCAAAATCTAGTAAAGCTGAGAGTTTTAATTCTAAGAGTGTCATACCTGCTAACTTTAGATGAATGTATGCCAATTAATAAGCATTAATGTTGTTTAGCTTCAAGAACAAACAGAATCAGACATTGAGCAAGCAATAGCAGCATTTGAAGTGACCAATCAGGTTCCACTTAGCATCATTGAAGCAAGGTAAATTAGATATTTCATACTTTTATTTTATCATTATTTTTATAACTCTTTGTTCACAATAAAGAAAATTGTCTCAAGAGGTGCATGTCTTTGAGCTTTATAAAGTACTGTTATTTTTAAGTAACTTTTATTTTTAAGTAACTATTATTTTTAAGTAACTGTTATTTTTAAGTAACTATTATTTTTAAGTAACTGTTATTTTTAAGTACTGTTATTTTTAAAAACCAAAAGGTCCACTGATTAATCTCAGATAAGAAAGTATAATACATACTCCAAGTATTGAAATACACGC